AGTTACAACTGACACCACAGAAATACAAAGGATCATAAGAGACTACTATAAGCCAATATGCCAAGGTACAACAGCAAAAGACTGAACCAGGAAGAAATAGAAAATATGAATAGACAAATCACACGTAATGAAATTGAAACTGTGATAAAAAATCTTCCAACAAACAAAAGTCCAGGACCAGATGGCTTCACAGGTGAATTCTATCAAACATTTAGACAAGAGCTAACACTCATCCTTCTCAAACTCTTCCAAAATTAGCAGACGGAGGAACACTCCCAAACTCCTTCTATGAGTCCACCATCAACCTGATACAAAAAACAGACAAAAATATCACAAAAAAAGAAAATTACAGGCCTATATCACTGATGAACATAGACGCAAAATCCTAAATAAAGTACGAGCTAACAGAATCCAGCAACACATTAAAAGGATCATACACCATGATCAAGTGGGATTTATCCCAGGGATGCAAGGATTCTTTAATATATACAAATCAATAAATGTGATACACCATATTGACAAATTGAAGGATAAAATCATATGATCATTGCAAAAGGTGCAGAAAAACTTTCGACAAAATTCAACACCCAGTTATGATAAAAACTCTACAGAAACTGAGCACAGAGGGAAACTACCTCAACATAATAAAGGTCATATATGACAAACCCACAGCAAACATCATTCTCAATGGTGAAAATCTGAAGGCGTGTCCTCTACGATCAGGAGAAGACAAAGATATCTACTCTCTCCACTTTTATTCAACATAATTTTGGAAGTCTTAGCCATGGCAACCAGAGAAGGAAAAGAAATAAAAGGAATACAAATTGGAAAAAAAGAACTATAACTGTCACTGTTTGCAGATGTCATGGTACTATACATAGAAAAACCTAAAGGTATCACCAGAAAACTACTAGAGCTAATCAATGAATTTGATAAAGTTGCAGGATAAAAAAATTAATACACAGAAATCTTTTGCATTCCTATACACTAACAATGAAAGATCAGAAAGAGAAATTAAGGAAACTATCCTATTCACCACTGCAACAAAAAAATAAAATACCTAGGAATGAACCTACCTAAGGAGGCAAAAACCTTTACACAGAAAACTATAAGACACTGAAGAAAGAAATCAAAGATGACACAAACAGATGGAGAGGTAGACCATGTTCTTGGATTGGAAGAATCAATACTGTGAAAATGACTATACTACCAAAAGCAATCTACTGATTCAATGCAATCCCTATCAAATACCAATGACATTTTTCATAGAACTAGAACAAAATTTTACAATTTGTATGGAAACACAAAAGATCCTGAATAGCCAAAGCAATCTTGAGAAAGAAAAACGGAGATGGAGAAATCAGGCTCACTGACTTCAGGCTATACTACAAAGCTACAGTCATCAAAACAGTATGGTTTTGATGGACAGCTACATGTAAAAGAATGAAATTAGAGCACTCCTTAACACCATACACAAAAAATAAACTCAAAATGGATAAAAGATCAAAATGTAAGGCCAGACAGTATAAAATTCTTAGAGGAAAACATAGGCAGAACAGTCTTGATGTAATCACAGCAAGATAATTTTTGACCAACTTCCTAGAGTAATGAAAATAAAAACAAAAGTAAACAAAAGGGACATAATGAAACTTAAAAACTTTTGCACAGAAATGGAAACCATAAACAAGATGGAAAGACAACCCTCAGAATGGGAGAAAAGAAGCAACTGACAAAGGATTAATCTCCAAAATATACAAACAACTCATGCATCTCAATATCAAAAACACAAAAAACACAATCAAAAAAATGTGCAAAAAACCTAAATAGACATTTTCCAAAGAAGACATACAGATGGCCAAGAGGCACATGAAAAGAGGCTCAACATCATTAATTATTAGAGAAATGCTAATCAAAACTACAATGAGGTATCACCTCACACTAGTCAGAATGGCCGGCATCCAAATATCTACAAACAATAAATGCTGGAGAGGGTGTGGAGAAAGGGAACCCTCTTGAACTGTTGGTGGGAATGTAAATTGATGCAATCACTATGGAGAACAGTATGGAGTTTCCTTAAAAAACTAAAAATAGAACTACCATATGACCCAGCAATCCCACTACTGGGCATATACCCTGAGAAAATAATAATTCAAAAAGACACATGCACTCCAATATTCATTTTGACACTATTTACAATAGCCTGGCATGAAAGCAACCTAAATATCTGTCAACAGATGGATGGATAAATATGTGGTATATATATATATATGTATTTATTTATTTATTTATTTATTTATTTATTTATTTATTTATAATGGAATATTATTCAACCATAAAAAAGAATGAAATTGGGTCATTTATAGAGTCGTGGATGGACCTAGAGACTGTCGTACAGAAGTAGAAGTAAGTCAGAAAGAGAAAAAGAAATATCGTATATTAACACATATATGTGGAATCTAAAAAAATGGTATAGATGATCTTTTTGCAAAGCAGAATTAGAGACACAGACATAGAGAACAAACATATGGATAACAAGGGGCAAGGGATGTGGGATGATTTGGGAGAGGTGGATTGACATATATACACTATTGATACTATGTATAAAATAAGTCACTCTTGAGAACCTATTGTATAGCATAAGGAACTCTACTCAATGCTCTGAGGTGACCTAAATGTGAAGGAAATCCACAAAAAGGTAATATATGTATATGTATAGCTGATTCACTTTGCTGTACAGTAGAAACTAACACAACAGTGTAAAGCACCTATACTCCAATAAAAATTTTAACAAAATGGAAGCAAACACAAAATATAGGAATGGAGAGACCTAAAATTACACCGCTAAAGTTCTTACTTATTAATAAATGAAATTCCTGCACTCTAACCCATATGTACTATGATAGCTGAAATTATCAAAGGTGTTTCTTTCCATCCTAGCTAGGAATTGAAGAATGAATGTTTTCACAGGTGACTAAATATTGGAAGGGTACTTTAAGAGACCTGATATCCTAAACATATCATGTTTATGACTTTATATGAATATGACTTTAAATTGAATGACTTTAAATTGACTTTAAATTGAATATGACTTTAAATTGAATATTAAAGTCATTTATTACTAGAAAGTGTTTCTTATTAAATAATGTAGCAGCTACCACTGCTGAGTTCACTACATGTATGCTCACCTGAAGAAGTATTCAGATGATTAAAGCATTTGAAATAATTTTCAAAAATGATATCACAAATTCATAAGATATGTAAAATGTATTGTCTCCAGTGTCTCTACTTGTAATATGGAATATATTTTTTCTTAGCAGTTAATATGTTAGTCAACTTCAAACAGTCACATTGAATTTTGCTGCTTTACCCAGTGAAAGGCTGAATATTCCTGTTTTATAGCTATATCTATACTTATACCTCTATCTATCTATCTATCCATCTATCTTTTTATATTAGGTAAGTAGAGAATTTGGTAGGAAATATAGTTGGTGGTATGGGCCTTCACTCAATCATAAAAAGCCTCCCACATCATCTTTGAGAATAAGGAAAACAAAACCCTTATTTTTCTTATATTAGGCAGCCTTCTAAAATAATCTCAATGATCCACATCCTTGCGCAGTCCTCTCTTCTTGAGTGTTAGATGAATGTAGTAATTTTCCTCTAATAAATAGAAAGTTGTAAAAGTGACAGACCATCATTTTCAAATTTAGACAAAAACACCATGACTTCCTTCTTTCTCATACTCCAACTCTTACCTTCTTATGTTCTCTGCATTTCTCTGTCATCATCATCATCATCATCTTGCTTGCTTGCTCTGGTGAAGCAAACTGGCATGTTGTGAGCTACCCAATGGAGAGACCCATGTGACAAGGAACTGAGAGCAGTCTCTGGTCAAAATCATTGAGGAATTGTGGCCTTAATTTGACAACCCATGAGGAATGAAAACAAGCCAAACACAATGTGAGTGAACTTGGAACTGAATTCTTCCCCAATCTAGCTTTCAGTTTAGACTGCAGCCCCAACAGACTTGTGAGAGTATGCAGTCTTATAAAAGACCCTTATCCCAAAAACCCAGTTAAGCTATACCAAGATTCCTAGCCCACAAAGACTGTGAGATAACACATGTTTTGAGCAGATTAAGTTTTGTCAGATTTTACTAGGTAATTAGAGATAATTAATACATCCTTCCTGCAATATTGACTTCTGGTGGATAAAGCTATATCAGTCTTTTGTGTGTTACTCTATGATCATTCTTACTTTTTTTACAGTTCTGTTAATTCAGACTGGAGTGTACAGAGAATAAGTAGGCTTGAATATTCATATTTCATATAATACATATAATGTGCATATATATATATATGCATTCACTGCACACAAATCCTGAAATATTAGTGAATAGAAATTTAAATCTGAATTTTCAGTTTGAAGATGTAAATGTCTATGAAATGTCTCTTGTACTGATACAACAAAGCAACTGAGATTTTGAGTTCTACGAGGAAATGAAATGACTCACCTATTAGGTTAATATCTGTGTTTGTCTTATTCAAATTCTTATCTCAAAAGATATGAAAGTTTTTCAAATTTAGCCTTAGGCTCCTCAGAGTCTTGCCTCAGCCCTTCATAATTCCTTTTATATTTTGTGTTTTTTTAATCATTTGCTTTCATTGCCTCTAAAAGTGGCAAGTTTCTGAAAGTCTTAGAATTGAATTGTCTATTAAAATCTGCTTGAAATATTTACCACTGACTAGAGAACAAGGTTGATAGTGTTTAATCTTTCAAGTCAAGTGATAAATATAACATGATCCAGGGATCAGATCAAGTGGAAGTGAGTGCATTATGTATCCTAATGGTGGTAAATGCTTAGGTAAGTAATTTAAAGATGCTAAATAGAAGGTTCCTGAAAAGGAAGGGAACCCTTCCAATTAGCTCACTGTGAAAAGGTCAGCTTTGGAACTTAAAGTCAGCAAATTTGTCTTTGTGGCCTAACAATTATCCAAATGTCACAATGTAATTTTATCCTTAGCTAATGCAGTAAGCTGACAGTTACCCCAGGATCGTAATTTTGATATGTGCAGTTGCATTCCATCAGCAACTGGGTTAACACTTCCTGTTACATGGTCAGAACTCTACAAGAAATGGATGCAAATAGAAAAACAAATGTAAAAGACAAAGACCTAAGTTCCCCTTACCATGAGAAAATGGTGGTGATAACCCAGGTTTGGGATGTCTCCTCAAGTAGTAAGGGACTTACTTCTTATTGCATGTATTAAAATAGTGGCCCTAAGTTCCCCTTACCATGAGAAAATGGTGGTGATAACCCAGGTTTGGGATGTCTCCTCAAGTAATAAGGGACTTACTTCTTATTGCATGTATTAAAATAGTGGCATTATGGGCTTCCCTGGTGGCGCAGTGGTTGAGAGTCCGCCTGCCGATGCAGGGGATACGGGTTCGTGCCCCGGTCTGGGAGGATCCCACATGCCGTGGAGCGGCTGGGCCCGTGAGCCATGGCCGTTGAGCCTGCTCGTCCGGAGCCTGTGCTCCACAATGGGAGAGGCCACAACAGTGAGAGGCCCACATACGGCAAAAAAAAAAAAAAAAAATAGTGGCATTAATTGACAAGGTTGTGTAAAAGAAGGTTGAAATTACTGAGCTATCAGTATATTCCTTAACAGCCCATGGCTAACTCAAAAGCAGCAAAAGCTTTCACAAAAGTACTAGGAAAAAAAGAAAAAGAAAGATCCAATTGATTTATATTTAGAATGCCATTCTAAATATCAGAAATCAGTGGGGTAAATTTTTCATATAGATTTTTCAATAACGTGTATAGTAAGTTTCAGTATTTGGAGAATTGAAAAATATATTTTATTATTTGATCCTGATAATAACATCATCAGAAAAGTAAGACTGGACTTTTGAATTTCATTGTCATTTAAAAATGAAGGAAAAAAAAATTCCAGAGAAGTTATAAGATTTACTGAAAGGAACACAGCTAGAAAAAGGTAGCCCTGGTGTTTATCACCAAACAGTCTGACCCTAGCTCCTTCTGCTCTAATTTTAAAAAAAATAATTAATTGTATTGCAAACACACATTGTATGTGTGAGCGTTTATGTACACATCCAATAAATTCTGGCATATGAGTTTATTCTTTTGCTAGGAATTTTTTTTTTTTTGTACTAGTGTCTCTTTTGGAGGGGGATAAAGGTAATTGGCTATATGAATTGCATTGAATTACTTGAGCAGCTGTGAATAAACACCTGTCTGAGCAATGATGCAAGTAAGTATAACCCTTTCCCCTGCAACCTACATACTTTTTACTTGAAACCCATGTCAAAAAGATAATCTCATTAAGCAAGGTATAAAACTCATTATCTCACTCATAAAAAAGAAAAAAATGTTCTTTTGTTTTAACTACAAGAAAGTTAATAAGAACTAACCATCCTAAAGCAAAGACTTTTAAGAGACTTATAGAACCATGGAATTAGAAAATGGGATCTCAGATGATTTTATTTTGTTGCTTTTTACTAGAAGTAGTTTTATCAGACTAAGAACATCTTTAGACAAGGCAGACAATACAAAACTGAAAACTTAGCTGACATGTCTGGTTTGAAAGAGCTAAAGGAAAACTATTTACTAATTCTAAAAATAATAACTGGTAATCAATAATGTCTAAGGAAAGTGCCCAATGGAACGAAGGAGTTAGAAATAAAGCATGTAGTTTCAGAAAAATAAAGTTCATAACAGTTTGAGTCATATCTAGTCTATAAATGCTGGAAGCCCTGAAGAAACTCTTCCTATGACCAGGTTCTTGGGAAGTCTATGTCATTAAGAGATATGGTGCTAGTGACTAAATATTTGTGCCTCCCCAAATCCATATGTTAAATCCTAACATTTAGTGTGATGGTATTTGGAAATGGGGGCCTTTGGGAGGTGATTAGGTCATGAAGATGGACCCATCACAAATGAGATTAGTGCTCTTAAAAAAGGGCACTAGAGAACTTCCTCAACCCCTGCAGCCATGTGAACACAGAGAAAGATGGCCATCTATGAACCAGGAAGGGAGCTCTCACCAGACACCAAATTGGCCAGCACTTTGACCTTGGACTTCCTAGCTTCCAGAATCGTGAGAAATAAATTTTTGTTGTTCATAAGCCACCCAGTCTATGGCATTCTGTTATAGCAGACTAAATGGACTAAGACACTTGACAAAGATAAAATTTGTGGTGGTACTGGTGGTGATATTGTGTATTTATATGTAAATGTTTGAGCTGAGAAGTTGAAGAGAGTTTTGTTGCTCAAGACCATATAATTTAAGGCCAAACTCATGAATTATATAGGATTAGGATTCAGAAAAAGTGATGCAAAGAGCCAAGAAAATATTGACTTAAAATTGCTTCCTTAGATAGAATCTAAGCTGTCTTTTTCACTGAAACATATAGAAACACTTTTGTATGTCTCATCTTTCTTGAAAATAATTTGCTTTCTTTCATCACTCCTCAAATGGGGGCAGGAAAAGGCAGAGAACAGAATGGCTTTGCTTGGGGGGAGAAAAGAGCTATGACCAGAAATACCCTTCAAACAGCTCTGAGGAAGTGTTAATAATTATTCCTCTAGGAAAGAAGGCATTTTGTGTCTACATATGACCCAAATCAGCATTATGCCAGTTCATTGGAAGGAAAGAGAAAAGATTTGGCAGCTACAAAGACTGATGGCCAGTTAAACAAGTCATTAGGTGGTTGGGTCATTTTGAAAAATAGATTTTGCTCCCCCTCGCTTGATTAATGCACAAGTCAAGGTAGAAATTTTATTCGTAAGTCATTCTGAAAGGCAAAGTGTTCACATAACTAAAAATTTTATTGAGGGGAAAGACATTTGTGCAACCATATAATGATATCCTTTTTACTGGACTATCATTAAAGAATTTATTCAGTATTGCAAATCATTCCCATAAACACTGTAATGGGAGTGAAATGTTGTTTGGTCATAGAGGAGATCTCCTGTAATATTAATATTAAATTTATTTAATGTTTGGTGTGCCAGTATCTGTATTGCAAAAAGATCTTTTGCTAAGTTAAAAGCATTGTTAAAGGAGCACAAACATAATAATGAAGCTGAGTTACAGCTCAGTGCTAATAAAGGCCATGTAGGACTACATTTTAAAAGTAAATTAAATTAGGCTTAGAGAAATCATAAACATTTTTGGAAAAGAAGCACTGTTTCCCTATTCAGTCTAAGATAAAAGACTTATCATCTGAAAGACATGACATGAAAGACATGATTTGGTGAGGAAAGGACAAATAAATGAGTTAAGAAAAAAATTAATCTAGCTAATGGTTATCTTGAAAAGTTAGAAGTAGGAAGAAGAACCTTGTAGTTGATATTGTCCTTAAGTCATGGTCACTGGAGCACAGGAATCATAGAACTAATGTAGCCAGATACTTAGGATTCTGCCAGGCCACATTTAATACTAAGCAAAGTTGTTACATTGACAGAATCACAGTGCTAAAACAGACTTTGGTTTCAAGCAAGGCAGGCATTTCCAGATAAGTATTTTAAGACTGGGCTCCTGAAAATCTGCAGACATTACCTTTCATGAGTGTACAAGAAACAGGGATAAATCTCTCCTCCTCTGCTCTATTTCTGCTCTCAGTGACTTCCCATTGTTATCCCTGTCCAATTTAGCACCAGAAAGTTGGGAGAGCGGCAAACTATGAATCAGGAAAAAGTCTAATTCAAAAGGTCAGATCATCCTTTGTAAACATAATTTCATGAGATAAATAGATGGGGCAGGAATTCTGAACTGCTGACTGAGAAGAGGTTTTTCCACTCAGGGCTCATGACTTTGATAAAGACTCTGGCCTCTGATCCCTGCTTTGTGCCTGAGGTTATCAAAATGCCATAAAAATTATGGGAAAAGGGGAACTGAATATTGAATAGAAGAATAGTTTCCTCTTTTCTTTGCTTAATAAAAGGTAATATCGACTGGTGGTATCCACTTGATTCATGCTTGTGAGAAGGTTAGAAGAGATAAGTTCAATATGGGATTTTAGGAACAAAAAGATTTTGTCTAATAACCCAAACCTGACACTGGCTCTAAGTCCATTGTGATTATTCTTTTAGCGCAAAAATTAAATGACTAAAAGTTATCTTTAGAAGATACAAATATGTGTATTGATATTAACTGATTATGATTCATTAACATGTTGGCATTCTTGAATTAATCATATTTGATGACAAATCATTTAGATTATATAAGATGTAAAGGGAACCTAAGGAGAATAGGCACTATACAGCTAAGATCTGGTTTCAGTAGTTTGCAAGAATGATCAGAAAATGTTCAGGATACCTGAAGTTAAGTAACACTCAAAAATAAGAAGAACGTATTGGATAAGAGGTTAATGAAGCACAAAATAATCTTAATCAGTGTAACTACTTCCCTAATATTCCACTAATTTTATCTGCTTTGAATACCTTATCTTTAGATTCTTTTAGAAGATGGGATATATAATAAAATACTAAATTACATGGTTTTGGATTTATGAGCTTTAAAAAAGGATGGTGGAGGAGTTATAAATTAAGGGGCTTTGTTTTATATATATATATATATATGTTTTCTAAAGTGTTCTGTATCATATAATTATGATTCATTGGTAAATCCTGAAAATAAAAGATTATTTAACAACAGATTTGCAAGACTTCCCAGTGCAAAAATCCCTGAACAAATCTCCCTAAGAGAAAATCTATGTTCTCCAATTAAAATCTTCAAGGAAAGATAAATCCTGATATCCAAGTGTGGTCTAGTTATTTGGAAATTTTGATAATTAGAACTGTCTTTCTTATAGCAAACTGACATCTTTTTCCTTATATATTTAAACTCTTGGTCCAAAAACTCTGTGGCCATGAAGATGAAGGTGTAATCTTTCTTCCAAGTAATAGAATTTAGATGATATAAAAGAAATTTCCCCATGAATATTCTTTAGCCAATGAAACCTGTTTTTTCATATGTGTTGTACTGATTTACTTTTCATGATGATTACTTTACCTGGACACATTTCAGTTTGTCAATGTCACAGTTTAAATTGTGATGCCTAGATTCAGTCAAAAGGAGGCATTTCATGATGGTGGTGC